TTTTTATGGGTTTAGGGTTCAGGTTTGATGTTAGGTTTAGGGTGTAGGGTTTATGGGTTTAGGTCGAACGCTTTCGAAGTCATGCGGCGGCGTTTTTTTTTTTTTTTGGGGGGGGGGCTTGGGTTTCAGGGTTTTGGGCTTCGCCACAAGATCGGAAGGCCTCGAAATCCCGTGGACTCCTTTGTCAGGAACCACAAACACACCCAAACATACATTTTGGGTTGGGATATCCCTACCTCATTTGCCTGCCTTAACGAGAGGATTATCCTACTTTGGACCAACTTCTTCTTGAGACGTCTTTGATAACAAACCCATGCTTACTACTAGTGTTCTTATTGCGACGCTAGTATGCTTTCCGAAGTGTATCTACCAAAATAGCCTCAACACCTAACCCCAAATCCCACAAAACCTCACAAAATCTTTGCGTCTGTGGTTGACCTCCTGTCAGGGTAAAGAGAGCTGCAGCGGAATTCTACCGAAAGCCGGTGTTAATGATCGAATCTCGGTATTGCTTTTAGGAATATAGCACACACAATCTTTCGGGGCATAGGGCTTGGGGTTCAAGGGATTGGTTTGCGTTTCGGGAGGTAGCTCCGCCTTGCTTGCCTGCTGAATTTACAGTTGCTGGTTGGGTCGTGTGTGGCGGCTGATATCACTTTGAACAAAAATTGGGCTGAGGCGTATACAGGGGAGCCTCAATATTTCGCAGCGAACACTGTTCCATTCGAACCCCTGTCTAGCTTTTTCAACGCCCGCTCCAAAACAAGCTGAAGGTAACTCTGATTGGCTAGCACAAAGCGGTGAATATAGATGGTCAAGCAGTCATCAAGAACCATCAGATAGCAGCTGTATTACGCAAGGTTTTAACCATTGCAATGCCTGCCTGCTGCATCGAAAAGCAGAACGGGTCCCGAAAAGTGTAGGATTTAGGATGTAGGTGTTAGGCTTAGCGCTTAGGGTTTGCTGGGTTTCGGTCGGTAAAGAAACCTCGAGGGTGCTTTAGATCCTAGTTTAGAAAATGGGTCTACAAGTGCAGCTTTTGAGCCATTGTTGTGCTGGAATTGGAATTAGGTGTGCCGGGCTTTGGTGCTGGTTTAACACCCTGCCACCCATAATGGCGAACGGAGTGTGCTTTGAAGACTGCAGCATGCTGATTTGGTTTACAGGCCCCAGGTGTTGAAGTTTCGGGATCATGGTGTTTCGGGGCGACGTTTCGTGGTTCAGGAACAAGGGACGTTGACGCCACAAGTTCCTGAAATTTGACCCCAACAGCCTCCACCCAGCAAACCAAGCAACGCATCTGCCGTCTCTCACACCTGTCGGAAAAGGAAAGCGACCGCGTGCAGTGCCAGTGCTGCCACTCCGAAGTCTTGAACAACCTGGTTGGTGAAGGAGCCACGGTCGAGGGCCATTGGTCAGCACACTGTTGGTTATGGCATGTGGAAGTGAGAGAGGTGCTATGCTTCCGTATGCTTCGCCCTGCATAGGACAGTTCACGATCGCGACAGACCTGGATCGCATTGCTCCCCTCATGGGATACATGGCCGCCCGGCCTTCCGAATTCGGGGGGCCCTCCAACAAAGCCAACCCTCCATGGCAAACCCTAGCCTTCCTTTGAATCCCCCCAGGCACCCGAGGCCCCAAATCACAACTCCTTGAAGTCGCCACGGTTCATGAATCATTCCTGTCGAGCAGGGGTTGATGTGAAAGTAACTGAAATGAAGTTGTACGATCCCTAGACCCTATAGGTCTTGATTGGAAGCATCTCAAAGCATGATCTTCTATAGGGCCTGGAAGTACGCCTGCCTATAGGCACCATAACTAGTGTATCTAAATCTATAGTAAGCTTCCTCTGCACGCTACTCGCCAAGTCCCCTCATCTATTAAGTGGGGTCCCCTACCGCCCCCTAAACCCTAAACCCCCACACCCTAGCAAAACCCCAGTCCATCCACAAAACCGAAGCCCTTGAACACGAAGCACCAAGCTCCCTGATCCCTTGACAGACGCTTATAAAACCAGATAATGAGCAACCTTATATATAACTCCCCAAAGCCCTATAAAGATCCTTCTTGGAAATACACCCTAAGCCCTAAACCTTCCTTATGGATCCCTGTTCTACGCCACTCACCTCCCAGCTGGGTTCGTCTGTAGAAGAGTTAACATTGAATATGTTGGTTTTGTTAGTGGGGTTTTAAGCACTTTAGGCTTACAGGGTTCTTTTAGGACTGCAGGGTTGAGGATTCAGGGTTTGGGGCCCCTCAATAGCAGAACCTAAGCCCTCAAGCCTGAAAGTTATAGTACCTTGATAAGGAACCCGAAAAGCTACTATCATAGCAACCCTTATTATAGGAACTCCCAACAGCAGAACCTCTAAACCCTACGAGGCCTCGATTTGTTCAGAGCTCGCAGGTGCGAAAGCGGCTGGGAAGTCAACTGGCCTCAGCTGATGTTCACAACTACCGGATCCTCCTGAACATGCGCTACGTGTTCTTCAGGTCGGGGGGTGTAAGGGTTACCATGAGGGCACCACGGTCGGGTTTATGGTGTTTGTAGGGCTTAGGGAGTTTAGGGTTTATGGTTGAGGGTTTGGGATTTGCGGTCCAGATTTGGGGTTTGGAGTGCCTTGGTCAGTTGTGTTGAGCTTCGCGTGCCTTGGCAGATCTACATCCATAGTTTTGAACGTATACTGCTTGTGAGCGAAGTGTATTCCGGTACCTGGTGTGCATCCCCGGAGCACGGCATAATTTCATGCATACCAAAATGTGTCTGTGTGTATGTCTGTGTGTGTATGTCTTGTGTCTGTCTGTGTCTTTGTGTGTGCCTCGTGTATACGTGTATGTATGTGTGTATTAATATACATATAGTTAATATGATGGATGGGGAGATTTTTCATGTATGTGTATACATCACACAGACAGACAGAGGCACGCATACACACACGTGCGCACACACACACATATATCTTTATATATGTATACGCATACACAGACAGAAAGAACCCCTATGAGGACCTTACAACAGGAATCTCAAAGGCCCTATAAGAATCCTTGAAGAACCCTATGATTCCATGATAGGGAGCTACAGCACCTCTCTCTAGGAATCTCAAAAGCCCAGAAGGATCCCACAAGAACCCCTATTACTCTAGGAAGCTCAACATCACCCTAAACCCTAAGCCCTAATCCCCAAACCCTGTAACACAGCAGATTTCTCCAGGAATCTCAACATCAGCAAAACTGACGAGCTGCTCCCCGGCTTCGAACCGATCTCCGGATCGCGGTGACCTCGTCGCAATCAGAGGCTTTGGGATTTGGGCTCAGGGTTTGGGGTTTTGGGGCTTTAGGGCTTCAGGGTTATATGGTTTAGGAATGTATAGGGTTCAGGGTTTTAGGGTGTCAAGGTTTGCTATTTTCGATTGAGGATCAATCAGAGTTCAGCGTTTTCGTATAGGGTTGGGTTTGGGATTAGGGTTTCGCACTGAGGGTTCCTGAATATGCCTGAGGTTGGGATCTTTTATGAAGGAGCCTTTGTCCCAGCTACCAAAGATTCTTTTTTCCCGGAGCCTCTGGGACAAGAGAGACAGACTGGGACTTACTGCTTCCGACCCTTGGGTGACTGGGTGTTTGTGGTGGTTTTGCGTTTCGGAACCCAAAAACCCTAAACTCAGAGCCCTAAACCTTTAAACCCAAAACCCGAAACCCAACCAAACCCCGAACACTAAGTCCAAGAGACCATCCAGAGTAAGCTCTTCCAGGATGAACCTGGCTTCCTCCAGCTTCACCCGGTTTATGCAGCTCAATGGCTTTGCGGACGTGCTGGGCCGGGACCGCTGTGGGGTATAGGGGATGAGGGTTTAGGGTATCAGGGTATCAGGGTATTAGGGTATTAGGGTTTCGTAGGGTTTAGCAGTGTTTAAGCTTCTTTCGCATGTTCGTTGCGCACATGTTTCAGTAGGGCCTGCAGTCGAAGTTGCTGCACAACGTCCTTATTCTAGGACTCTAGGGTCTGTCTAACGTTTTTCACGTACTGGTTCGGTTGAGTACTTCGAAGAGGGTGCGCTTAACTGCATCTTTCTAGTCGCCCGGCGGGCGTTGCTTAACCCCAAGCCAAGCCCCAAGATCCTGAAGCTCTAAAGCCCGAAAGCCCTAAGCCCTAAACCCATCAATAAACTCTAAGCCCCCAAACCTAAAAGCCCATCGGAACTGTCAGGACAGCCAAGGCTGGACGCCCATGTGCTATGCCGCGCTGCGCCCTGATCGGAGCAAGCTGGGGTTTGGGGCTTTCGGTTTCCAGGGTTTGTTTGGGTTTTAGGGTTTTTGGTTTACGGCTTTACATGGTTGGGATGTATCGGGTTTGGGGTCTGGGTTTTGGGTTCAGGGTTTGAGGGGTTAAGGTCGCGGCGTTGGGGCTGGGGATCACAAGATATAGATGATGGCTGCTTGTTTTTGCCAGACTTGTTACAGTGCTTCATGGCAGTGCATAGATGCCTGTCATTGAGTTCATTTTTGCCGTATGTAGCCGGGTTTGAGGGTCGGGAGGCTTCGTGTTTGGAGCCCGTCATGCTTCAGGCCCCAACCGCCGCACCTTTATCCGCAGGGCACTCCCCGAAACCCTTTATGAACCTCAAACCCCTAAAAGAAGCCCCAAACCCGAAGCACCATTATGGGTCTAAGGCTTCTTTAGAGTTAACTAACTCTCAGCTTCCGACGTTTTCTATTCCTTAGCGTGGTAAGTTCGTTCGGTTTGGGGCACTATTTACAATGGATCGCCTCACGTGGACGCACGGCTGCACGCATTCGCTGTGAATCGTGGGACGTGAGCGAACACGATGCGGCGCAACATAGCAGAAGACGAACGCCGCGAGCATCCCGCATAAATCATAGGATGCGGGCATTTGCTGTAAGTCCTTTTCGAGACGCGCCAGGCGGCCACCTCAAGTACCACTTTCTGCAATGAATTCTAATGCAAGAACCCCATTGTCCTACCACACGGTTCAGGACAAGCAGAACTCAGTACACGAACAAAAAGCCCCAAACCGTTTCGTCACAAGCCCAGAAACCACATACAAAACGCACAAGAACATTAAACGCCTCGAGGATGGGAAGCCCTGCGGTAATCGAGGGGCTGCTGGAGCTCCGGGCCAACCCGTCCTTGAGCTGCGCTGAGGGTTTTATAGGGTTGTAGCTTGCAGTATTAGATTTGTCTCATCAATAGTATAGTGGTTTTACATAAAAGATCAGGGGGCTGTTTAGTAAATGGGGTTATACAAGTACCTTAGTTGGGGCTGCAGGTGTTTAACCGAGTCGTCAGCCACCCTACTTGCAACCATTCCTACTGGGTGCCCTGATAGCTTTAAGTAGGGGCTCAGAGGCTAGAGTTCGGGGCTGAGACTGTAACCCTTGCGTGTACTGAAGTGTCAGAGCGCTAAACCTTAACCCCTAAAGCGCTAAACGCCAGACTAAGCTCAATCCCAACTGCCCAGCTCCCTAATCCTTCCTTGGATTTCGTGTGGAGCCCCGGCTTAAGGGGGAACCCTCGAGTTTAGCGAAGTTAACTAGTTCAAACCCGCCACTAAAATCTGAAGCCGCGAGCTCCTAGGTCTAGGGACCCTTCTCCCCCTGACAAAGAACATGGAAGTGTTTAAAAGAATACAGAGCAAAAATAACTAATGGTGTCCTCTTAAAGTCCTTGAACTGTTTATAGTCATATATACCCCGGAAATCCTGTTCTACTAAGTACAGCCTTTAAGGTTTGGGGTGGCGGGGCACCCTTCCTTTCCATCCCCCGGAGGAATGATCGCATCGGACATGATCGTTCCGACCTGCACATGGCGGCCCGAATGCAACGAAAGTTCAGGGCTTTGGTGCTTGATACTGACTAAATAATTACCACGGTTATTCCTTTCGGTGGTCACGTATTTTTGTTTGCTACTAATGAACCCCCAAGTCCAATCAACACCATGGAGGCCCCTACGTGAGCGTGTTGGGTCAGAGGCGGCAGAGCTAGAGGGCGTTTAGGGTTTGAGGGATCTTCGAGCTGTGGGATCTCAACTTTTTGTTGAAAGTTTGGTGTGGAAGGATTAGGTGGGGGGTTAGGGTTTCTGGCTCACGTCTAGAGCAGAAGGGCTGTCATGGTCTTGGCATCGGAGTCCCCGAGTCCCGCATACTGCCGGTGAGGGCTTTTTGTCCGAGAGCTCAGAGTCAGAGGTTCGGTAGGGCCTAGGGCCTCATATAGGGGCCTGCATAATTACCTATACTATTCTGGGGGTTCCTTTTTATAAGTACAGCATAGTATATCTCAACACCCTATTCTGATTAATTAAGGCCCCTACACTAGTAGGGCTTGGGGCTTGGGGTCGGGGGAACTGCTGCAGGCTCCTAGCCTCGAATCTCCAGGCTTTGCTCATTCCAAGAAGGATTCATGTCCCGGCGGCTTCGGGCGTGGGGGTAATGTAGGACATGATCAAGAAACCCTGGGTCTTTATTAGGGTTCTTGATCTGATTCCTAATATAGTGGGGATATAGGGCCAGGGTTTCTTAATCAGGTTCCTACACCATGATGTCACAAGGAAGCACTAGCTTGTTGAAGTCTGGTGATCCGGAACGTGTGTTTTCGTCCTGAGCAAGAAGGAGTTTAGGGACTTGGGCCGAAGGCGAAGAACACGCCTGTTCTTTCGGTGGCTCTTTTTCTTCGGCATACAGAGGCGGCGCCACTTGGCCGCACAGATGCATGTGGGCACCATCGCTGCCCTAAGCCCATTAGGTCCTAAGCCCTGAAGCCAAAGTCGGCGGTGTGAACGAGTGAACCCAGTGCCTGTGGAGTGGTTGAGGCTTCTTGCAGAGCTACATGCTGAACGCACCCGACCTGTTTCAACATCAGCCGCCTCTCCCCAGCTACACTGTCACCCTGAACCCTGAACCCTAAGCGGCTCCCGGGCTTTGTCTTCGGCCCAAACAGGCAGAAGCAGGGAAAAGGCAGGTACTGCTTGGGGTGTCTCGAAGTATGGGCTGAGGTCTACACATTCTTTAGCTTCTTCGAACTCAGAGTCTAGGAGCCCCTGTTCTTTTCTTGGCCGATTGTTCGGTTATCGTCTAAGAACGAAAGAACTAAGAAGCGAACCAAGATTTAAGAAACCCTCAGCCCTACAAAATAATAATCCGTAAGCCCTACAAAACTGAGTATCTTCTTCAAAGGAAGGTGCTCATCGAGGGCCGCGCGGACATGTCTGCGCGCGACGTCAAGGGCATCACGCCCGTCCACCATGCCTCTGCAGCCTGGCAACTGGCTGTTTTTTGATCTATAGGGTTTAATATGGTTAAAGGGTCTGATTCTTTTGTTGCAGGGCCCGGCCCTGGCAGCTCCCTATGCCAAAGATGCTTCAGGGGATGCGACACAAACATACATGACCTGACGTGACGTGACTTGTAGGCATTGCCTGGGAACTGACGGTTGCTGCAGCCGGGAATGCAGGACTGCGGTGTCTCAGGCCTGCCTAAAGCGTACATACATGCATATCTCATAATGACAAACACATGTGCATGTGAGTATATCATGTGTCTCTCTGTCTGTGCGTGCCTCTGTATATCTATCTAATGAGGCATCCATCTGGCTAGCTAGCTATACCTGACTACCAGCCTACGTACCTACCTGTACCTGCCAACCCATCTAAAGGCTATGTATCTCTCTAACTATGCCGTGTGCCAGCATTGGTGCACCTCAACTCGTGCTTCATGCCCTTTAAACTTTAAGCCAAACATACCCTTTAAGCACCCTAAACTCTAAACCCTGCACCCCTAAACCCATAAAGAGCCCAACTTCCTGAGTTCGCGTCTCTCCCTTAAGCACGGAAGCACGGCCTCAGGCTGGGAACAATGACTCAGGGCTCCATCTCCTCGCCGCCAAGCGCTGCGATGCGCCTTGACTGAGTCTTTGAGACGGTTTTAGGGGAAGTTTAGGGCTTAGGGTTAAGGGTTTAGGCAGAGTTTCAGAGTTGAAGTACGTAATCAGTTGGAAGATAAGCCAAAGGCCCTAAGCCCTACATCGAGCATGTCCGGGTTTGCGAACGTTTTTGTCGAAGGTCTGAGTATCTAGAGGTCTCTTAAGCACCGTGGTTGTGCATGCGCGGTCAGTGCTTTTGTCATCAGGATTCAGAATAGTATGCACATCTTTTCGTGATGCCAAAGCTCGTGTAGTCTGAGACCATCTGATTCCCCAACACCTAAAGCACTACACCCTGAACCGCAACCGTAAACAAAAGCTCCTAGACCATGAAGCCTAAACTTTATAATCCCAGTCCCCCGATGCCCAATGCAGGTGACCGCTCGTGACGGCCTGGGATACCAGGCTCCTCCGGATTCGCTCGGGGGGACCTTGCTCTTTACGGCCTGGTGGGTTTCGATTCACTGGTTCGGCTTAAAAGTGTCTCGCTCTACGCTGTCGCCCTCGACCCCCCGCCCCCCGCCCGCGCGATTCCAGTGTGAAACGCCTAGCGGTGCTTCAAGGATCCGGACTTACTAGGTGTATACCTGTATACCCTACTTCCCCGAAATCCGTAAGAACAGATATCCCAACGTATTTGCATCCTACACCCCACAAAGACTGAAAGTTCCATAGCCATCCCTAAACCCTAAACCCTAAACCCTAAACCCGGAACCCTAATCATAAGAAACATCCCAACTCCAAACGAGACCTTTCTGCCCATCCCGACTCCGGCAGCCCCCTGCTTGAAGGATCCGGGCGCGTAGTGCTGTACGTGAGGCTCCAGTTTAGGGTTTAGGGTTTCGGGTTCAGGGGTTTAGGGTTTAGGGGTCTAGGGCTTTGGGCTTAAGGGTTTAGGGGTTTAGGGATTCAGGGTTTAGGGTTCAGGGTTCAGGGTTTAGGGTTTAGGGTAACTTCCTTAGTGGTGTAGGGTCCAAAGCATCTAACAATTAGGTACTATGGCTTAGGATAGTCATAGGGTTATAAGGAACCAGAGCTACAGCTACCTGTCTGATGACCCTACTTCTAGGACAAAGTCTCCTGATCCTTCAAGCAGACTTCCTAAACCCTGAACCCTAAACC